TTTTATGGTTGCCACCTCATAAAACTTTCTTTTATTGGTTATACTATCTTTATCTCTAAACAAGTTATCCATCATATTGGCTTTGGATTCCAGCTGGGTGAGATTGGTTATTTTGTAGGGAATTAATTAGTCTTGTAACCATATAATGGAACATTGTTTCGCTCTGTTGGATGCGTCGGATTCCGTATCATGTTCCTAGCCCCTATGTTGGTAAGTTTATGTTGGTCCCAACCAGTTTAATTTCAACGAACAAAAAAAATAACACCAAATTGTTTCCAGATAAATTCGACTACACATAGATAGTTCGTAGATAAATCAGACAATGTGTGTACTTTCATAGTAGTAAAATCAAAACACAAAACAATTGTTAACCCAGTTTGACCATCAAAGACCTACGTCTAGGGGTACCAATCCAGGAAAATTAATACTCAATGAAGAACAAATCAAGCTTACAAAGTTGTTCCATGAATCATTGCACTCGGAAATCTCACTCTCTCACTCACACAGAGGTTTATCCCAAAAACAAATTCACCCTACAACCTTTGGAAACAAAATTCTCCTGTTCCCCTAACTATTCTCACTTTCCTATCTTTCACCTTTTTTTTAAAATCCAAATTAGTCACTTCTCTGCCCCTCAACAAGGTAAGATCACCCCAAATGAAGAAAGAAATTATTCTCAATAATTTCATAATTTGTCTTTCCTATTTTGTCTCAATCAAATCTCCTAGAATCTGCTTATTCATCTCAAACATATCCTTATAATCAATATTCACCTTCAGAGATATGAAACTCGATCAATTTCAACCGCAATAGAATGGATCACTTTTTTTATGCTAAATAGGCCGCAGTTGTTCACCATGTCCATGCGTTGATCAGACCTCCTGCGAACATCAACCAAAATCCAATACAAAATATAATCTATTTTCAACAATCTCTCCCTTTTTGGTTGATGTTTACCAACCTAAATAAAGATGATCAATCAGCACTACACACCATAAGCTAACTTACGACAAATAGACAAATTCAAAGTCCCCCTCAACTAAATAGACAAATTCAAACTCCCCCTCAACCAAACAGACAAATCCAAACTCTCTCTCAACCAAACATAACACCATCAATCCCAGAAGCAGCATTAACAGCATAATTATCATCCACCATCCCCCCCTTTGGGAGACATCAAACAAAAAGTACATTTGTCAATTGTTCAGATATCTCGCTGACTCATTGCTTAAATTTCAGAACTTCCCTTGAGAGATGGAATTGTCAAAATATCATTATTCAGCCCAACTTCAACTGATTTCAACAAGAATGAGCCATACCTCACTTCTCAGACATAAAATCATTTATAATCTGATCTGCCATGGACCATGTATTTTCCTTCTTTATCAGTGCCGACCCAGAGCTTCAAAGTGATACAAATCCAGGGATTTTGTGAGAATGACTGCCAGTTGGTGATCTGTCTGAATATATTTCAGACTGTAAATTCCTTCTTCGACCAGATCTCGAATAAAGTGATACCGAATATCGATGTGCTTCATTCGACTGTGTTGCACCGGATTTTTAGAGATTTAATCATGCTTGTGTTATCATAGTGCACCACAAATTTTTCACATTTGATTCCAAAATCCTTCAACATCTGTTGCATCCATAGTAGCTGCGCACATCCTCCAGCTGCTGCTATATATTCTACGTCCACTGTCGAAAGAGAAACGCTATTTTGTTTCTTCAAAAACGAACTTATCTGATTGTTGCCAAGATAGAAACATCATCCCAATTTGATTTTGCAATCATCGTAGTGGCTTGCCCAATCCGCATCCGTGTAGTCTGCCAGTTCAAGAGATGATTCTTTTGAATACCAAAGTCCTAAATCTGCAGTGCCTCTCACATATCTCAAAATCTGTTTGACAGCCTTCATGTGTGACTCTTTCGGATCAAATTGATATTGGGCACATATTCCCACATTGAAGCTGATGTCTGGTTTACTTCCATTTAGATATAAAAGACTCCCGATCATGCTGCAATACAATTTTTTATTAAATGAGACACCATTGGCATCTCTCTATATTTTATCTTGGCAGCCCATAGGTGCTCGAATTGGCTTTGCATTCTCCATATCGAACCTTTTCATCATATTTTCAATATACTTACTTTGAATCATGAAAATCCCTTCCTCACATTGCTTTATTTGTAAGCCTAGAGAATACTTAAGTTCCCCCATTATCGACATCTCAAACTCGGCAGTCATCAGTTTCACAAATTCATCCTTCAGATGGTTTGAGGTCAATCCGAACACTATATCATCCACATAAATTTGTGCTATCATTAGATCTCCTTCAGTTTGTTTAAAAAATAACATCATGTCAACTGATCCTCGCACATGCCTTTGGGACTTCTAATATAGACCTTGACTTTACCCAACTCCATAACAACTTCATCCCTTTTGAAAACCGCCTTGTCCTCAAGGCGGCAGGAAAGTGGAAGCGCAATTCCTCTTCATCAACCTAAGTCGAATCCTTAAACATTAGTCCGCGACAATGTAGGAATGAGCTTGTCCCCTCTACTGCCATGTGCTCGAGCTTCGTGGATCTGACCTCATCTTCCATCCACCCTTCGACCTCGTCCATCTCTTTGAGCTCGGCCACCCAATTTGAGTTTGGGTCCACCACACAAGTTCGAAGGGACTTGCTCGCACACTTATGCAATGGTATATAAGGCTCCTTACAACGGTGGCAAAGTAGCTTAGATTGACACTCGCGATACTCTTAACCACTCAGTTTTCGGAAGGGAACTCACACAGAGGACTGGTCCGAAGCCACCGGGCGTCCGCCAGTGGAGCTGATGTCCGTGCCTGGTGTATTGCTTCTGATTCCATTCCCAAGACTAGATGGACCTACTGGAGGTCCAATCTGCGCTCCACTGATAAGACACGAACTCGCAAATTGACCAGGAGGTTGTCCAGGTTGTTGATATGTCGTGGCAGAACCAGCATTGAATTCCCACTCAATGCTACGGCTGATCTGGATAGCTGAGTCCAAATCTTTGGGGTCTAGTGTCCTAAGACGATTGTGGATGTTCTGTTGCAATCCCCCCATTAAGTATCTGAGGCAATGCTTATCCGTTAAGCCTGGCACCTGTGTCATCAGTTGGATGAACTCGTTGATATACTGATCAACTCCCTCTTTTTGCCGAAGTGTGGCAAGGCGCTCGTAGGGGCTCCCTACGTGACGATCATCAAAACGAAGTACTAGGGCTCTGGAAAACTCCGGCCAAGTGGCGGTTGGGTGGCGAAAGTGTTGCCATCGAGACCAGTGCAGCGCTGTACCCTCCATAGCGAGGCGCGCTAATGCTACCTTGAGTTCTGTTCGCACTCGGTGGAGTTCAAACTGTTGCTCAGTGTGAGCAACACAACCATTAGGCTCCGTCCAGTCAAACTGTGGTAGTCTGAATTCTGAGAGGAGCGGGGTGGCGAAGCTACCATAGCGGGGGGTCAACCCCCTAACGGTTGAGAATCCGGCACGAGTGGATGCTGCGCCATGGGTGGCGACACTGAGGACACTGGGAATTGAGTTGGTGGCTGACCCACTGACGCAGTCACGTCAGTGGCAGCGCTGACGCCGCTAACCGCTGCCTTGATTGCTGCGAGCAACTCCTGCTGCAGCAAAACCATCTGATTCGTGTTCTGTTCTCCCAAGGTCTCAAACTTGGCGGAAACATCCTGACGGATCTGGTTTACCTCCTCCTATATTTCTCCAACGGTTTCTTCCAATAGCTCCAATCGTTGTTGATTGGAGATGGGCATGATTCCGTCAGCAAAGGATCCGACAGGTCGGATCAATTGTTATGACTTGGGTTATGGAAGAGAGAATTTATTCAAATCAAAGGGAATAGAAACCAAAACCAAAATAATGACTGCCAACCCTAGATTTGCCCTATATAGAACCAAGCCCAAACTCATAATCAACAATTAAACTGTAAATAAATAATAAGATAAATAATAAGAATAAAATAATAATTATCCTAAATGACTGCTGTGCTTCTCCCTCTTCTAATATAGACCTTGACTTTACCCAACTCCATAACAGGCTTCACCAATATTTTTCGGTTCCATATTTGAGACAAATCAGTTCAAGCCAGCAAACTCCGTAAAATTGAGGATGTTTTCTCTTGTCATTCTTGATCTCCAATTATAAGATCTGTTGGGTGCTCTTTTTTTGCTTTTTGTGGAATTTCAGGTCCAAACTGAGAATTACTGTCTGTTGGGTATGATAGATATAAATATATTTTTTTGAAAAAAATTGCTAATAATTCGTTATTATATTTTAATTGTTGGAATTACTATGATTTTCACTAGCATATTTTAATATTTTTGAATTATTATTATTTTATTATAACATTATCATAATATTCTTCAGGTAATAATAATAATAATAATTAATAATATATTTTTAAGAATTCATACAAATTTTTTATTGAATACTCCTAATTTTAAAAACTTTCTAAGGGTGTGTTTGTTTGGGGGATTTTGTGGGATTTCTACTATTCCCACAAAATTTTCCCTCCAAAAATATCAAATCAAACATTTATTTTTCATTTTTTATATTATACTAAAAATTAATTTTACATTCAAAACATCACATCAATTCTTATTTATATCACATCATACAACTATTCAAATTCAAAATTTTTACTATTCAAATCCCAACCCAAAATCCAAACCCTCAAAATTTCAAGACTTTTAAATTCTAACAAAATCATGATTGAATACACCCTCAGCGGCTCTCCCGACGTATTTTACAGTGCGAAGAAAGAAACAAACAACAATACCAAGTCCAATTTAAACCCGCAACCTATTTACGAGGTAATAAGTAAAAGAGTCGGCCAAATTAGTGTAGCAGCAGATCCACAAATTGTAACTTTGCCGACGCCTTTCTGATCTTGAAACATAAATCACACTATCAATTTGTGATGTCAATCAAGTAAAAAAAACCAAAGTACCGAAATGAAATAACCATAAACACATTTGATTCCGCATTGAAATGGATTACAGATATATAATAACATCTATCCCAAACAAACAGTAGATCCAAAATACAGTTAAGGAGTTACAAGAAACTTCAGAATGATTCAAGCATTCGGTATTTACTGAACTGAACACCAAGTCCCCCACAACCAAATGATCGCAGGAGGCTGGAGTGGTCTGCATGTATGTATACCAAAACCAAGACTAATAAGCTTAATGAACATGTATTACACGACGCCGGATGGAAGGCGCATCACAAGTTGTCCCCCGAACACACTGCAATTGAAAAAGCCAACATTGAATAAAATAAAACGATCTTGCGGATAGTACTGAAGATGAGCAGTTAGTTAGACAAGTTATGCCGACCTTTTAACATAGTAATAGCAAAAGTCTGCCAGAATAAAAGTCTGAATTATTTCGCATAAAAGAACCATTGACGGCCATAGTCCATAGCCCAATGCCACAAGGAGGCGACCCCGAGTGTCCACAACCTGAAGATATAAAAAATAGTGACACTAAGAGAGATAAATATTTATGCTTATTGTAGTTTTGATTAAACTTGATTAATCCAAGGTATTTGATCCAAGGGGACAGGATTCAAAACAAACAAGTTAAATATAAATCTACAATATCACTGTGCAGAAGTGTCGTGGCTGGTGTTTATGCATTTTAGTATATTTCTTTAAAGTGTATAAAATACCCAAAATGGTATATCAGTTCCTTGATTATTAATTCCAAAATTTATAAGATTTCTAATTTTGTAACATTTAATATCAATTTCAGTCTAACTAGATCAAGTTGCAAAACCTTTTCGGTAAATTCATAGTGGAACTCACAATTTTCAGCAGTCAACTACATCTCAAACCAACCAAATATTTTAGCTTAATTTAAATTGATGTAAATTAACTTTAAATTAAAATTTAGTGTAAAATAAATCACCATAATTTAGAAATACCAGGCTTGGGTTTCAATTTTTGCTTCCTAAATCAATGTAGCCTAAATTTTGCTCTCTCTCTCTACTAAAGTATCCTCAGGTTTTGGGTTTTCACTAGTTTCCTAAATCCATCCAGCTGAAAATTTGCCAGGTTTTATAGGAGGACCGCAGATGTTACTTTCCCAGGTTTTTATGATTAGATCGTTGTCTGCTTGTGAGGTATAATATTAGAGGATTCAAAACACCATATAAAAATAAATAAATGGTATCACGAGTTTGACAAAACGTACCTGAAGAACCCAGTGAGCACAGCTCAAAAACCTTGCAACACCCAATGCAAATACATAATGAGCTGTAAATGGTTCAACAATCTGCCACCACAATGTCCAGAATGAATTAGTCATTTCACTTACCCCAAATTGTGGATTAACACTAACTGGTGTCCCTATTTGAAATTATACCTTTGTGTTCTGCATGACGCGTAATTGAGGTAGCACAGAGACTGCTTCCAGGTAAACACAGAATGCCCAGGAGATCCTGTTGATTACATGATGTGTCGTGGTTGGGTGAATTAGTAAAGCCAAAACAAGACAAGGAGCTGCCTGCACGAAATCACTCAGAAATTAGTGCCGCATAAATTATACAGTGAGAACATACACCTAAAACGCTCCAATTAAATATATGTATAGCAAACTGAAGTTCAAATTAAAGACTCACAACGTAGTACAAAGGCAAGTTGTCTTTATCCTCCATGTAGCTTGATTTCAGATTGAATCGGATCATATAAATAACCCACAACGTCGTGACAAGTGTAGCCATGTCAAGCAAAGTGTGGATATCATATTCCATGACAAAGCTACAATACAGTCTCACCGCCAAAAACAGAGCTGTTAGCTCTTGCGATTTGAGTGACAGCCCTGTCCATCAATATACAAAATCGAAGCAAATCACAATCACCACTAAATAAAAAGATTAGATGATCAGCAAAGAAGAAATTACGAATGCAGAAAGCATCATATGTCCTAATTAATACATCAAATCTTTACACGCATACCCAGGCACAACATAGACAGCTACACAAATAATGTGTCCTGAACAATGTGATAAAAATCGTGTTGTAAACTTTATCTAAGACAAACCAGTTTTTTCAGCCACGTCGTACAAGCTAGGTTAGACAGCATGACCTTTATTAAGCAACTCCTGAATAGCATTGCTATAACAGAACTGCAACATCTAAAAGTGCATGCCGAATCCTTACTTCTAAGGATGTGGAAAAATTGGATGAGACATTATTGTTACTGAATGTAAGAAAACCATAGTGAAAGCCCTCCTCATAAGCAAAGAGCTTTTTCCATTCAACAAGTGCAATCCCTTCCCAAAATATTTCTCCAGATAACCAAAATTCACATAATCATCCCTCTTCAGCACGCAATTGAAAGAAATTGAAACAAAAATCTATTTAAAAGCATTAAAAAGTTAAGAAAACCATATTAATCTGCAATAAACTTGTCTGTTATGTTAAAACTCCAAGCCTTTCCCTTTATTAACCCAATTGCTCGGAAAATAAAAATATAAAAAAATAATAAAAAAATAAAAATTGGAATAAGATCAAACTCCACAACTTCTATCAGAAAATAAACATGGGAATAATCCCCAAATTTCAATCTCAGGAAGGAAATCAATGAATTTTGCAAATCCCCAAATCCTTAAAACCCTAAGATTATAGTATCCAAAATGAAAGCATAAAAATGTAAAGCGAAAGAAATAGGCAAGTTTCCCCGGACCGGCACAAGTCCTCTCCTTCATCAATTTGTAGATAAGAACGGAAATCCCGATGGCGTGAACAGCCTCGGCTGCAATAAACAGATTATCGTGATCATAAACAATTGCGCGGAGGAGAACAAGCGCCATCATGCCACCAATCACCGCCAGAAAGGCCTTCACCTTGGGCGGTTGCCGCCGCATCCATGTGGATACCGCCTGGATTGGCCTCCTCGGTAGCCCCATACCCTACACCTAATCCAATCAAATATAGCTCGTTTCCGATCAAAAATATAGCTCGTGTAATTTACTTGGATTTCGTGATATACTGTGTCCGAGCGGAAAAGGGTTTGCGAGAAGAGAAGGGGCACACACAGTGAGAGAGAGAGATTTGCAGAGGAAGGTGTGGTGAGAATAAAAAATGTCTCTGCGGCAAAGTGCTTCCAGTTACAGCAATACCATATTATACTATACTATACTCCCAGAGTCAAACAAGTCAGATCGGTGGTAGATTTCGATTTCATTACACCACAGTAAATTTTTCAAAACTTTTTTTTCTCTTAAAAATATTAAATTAAACATCAATTTTTTATTTATTATATTATATAAAAATTAAATTTTACATTAAAGAAATCACATCAAACTATTATTTTAATTTAAAATTTTATTATTCAAAACCAAAACCAAAAACCAACAACCAAAATCTCACAAATAAACATATAATTTTATTTCATATGATTTTAAGAAAGATGTTAGAAGATGGTAAAATGTAAATGAATGTATCTACATTTACAATTACAATTTTTCATTCTTTTCCTTTCACAAAATTCTATTTGTTCTTTTCCCCAAAATTTATAATGACATCTCTTTCAGAAAAATTAATATACTCCCTCCGTCCCAAAAAGTAAATATTCATTTACTTTTTACACATAGTTTTAAAAATATTAGTATTATATTGGGATATAGTAAGAATAAAGTTGAAATGACTAAAATAACATTTATTAGTATATGTGATATAAAGGTAATGATATATGTATAATATATTGTAAGTTGTAAGGGTATTTGTAATATTAAGCAGATAATACAGTTACTAAAAAATGAAACGGATACTTTGTTATGGGACGAACTAAAATGCAAAAATTGATACTTTGTTATGGGACGGAGAGAATATTATACATAGTTATTATTTTATTTTTGTATTAGTTCAAATAATTCTCTATAAAACAAAAACACCCTCGATGTTCTAGCATAAACATCTGTATTATGGTATATATAATTTTTTTTTTCATTTTAATTGAAAATATTTTTTACTATATGTCCCGTTAAAAAATATGGTTAATTCTAAGGTGTGTTAACCTGTACGATTTTTCACCAAATTTTACTATTTTAATTTTGTCTTTCTTACAATAATATCAATTCAAATACTCATTTTTTATTTATTATATTATATTAAAATTTAGTTTTATATTAAAAAATCACATCAATATATATTTATATCATATTAAACAAACATTTCAACTCAAAATTTTATTATTCAAAATCAAAATCAAAAATTAAAATATGTATTTAAATATTTTAAGAATTATATTGCAATAAAAAATATATATATGGATATCATTTTAGAATTTGTAGATAATAAATTTTTTATAATACAAGTAAATAAAAATATACTTTTATTTATTTAAATTAATAATAAATTAATTTTATAAGAGATATAAAGTTTAAATATAGATAAAAATATTTTTTTTTTAGAAGAAAGATAAAAATAAAGGGTTTTGAGTTATCCTAGCGTGATGTATAATATTATATGTTAGGTAATAAATTAAATTAGTTTATATTTGTTCACTATGTTTTTATTTAATAAATGTTGCCAAAAACAGAAAAATGTCAATTATTATTGGACATACGAGAATAAAAATTGTGTCAATTACGATAGAAAGAAAGGAGTTAATACAATCAAATTTATTAAATAAAATAAAATATATATCTTATTAAGAGTTAGAAGATGGTGTATTTTATTACGAGCAAATACTTCAAAAGATATGGTATTACATACAAAATATAAAATAATAACAATAATAATAATAATAATAATAATAATAATAATACTTATTTGGTTCCACATAATTTGTCATTATTTTTCACTTCCGACGATTCCACATAATTTGATATTTTCTTTTTTAAAAATATGATTATACATTTGAATCGCATTTTAAATTTTATGATTTATAATTATCTTAATCTTAATTAAATTATTTAATTATCTTAATTTTAATTTATAATTATTTTTATTATACAATCATTATTTTTTCTAATACATTTTTTAATTATTTACAAACTATACTTTATCTAAATTCTAGTATCTACATAAGTAACAGAGACAAAGTATCTTAGATTGAAGGAGCAATAAATAATATATATATATATATTTCTTATCAGTTTACAATGGTGATATAATACAAAATATAATTTACTATAAAAAAATTATGCAATAATATAATAAAAATATAAATATTACATTTGAATTTAGTTTTATTTATTAAATTAGTAAACTAGTTAATAACCGTTCAACTTTTCGATCACAATACTTTGTGTAGGTTCAGCAAAGAAACTTTAGATAAAATTAAATAATTAAAACAATAAAAATATATAAAAACAAGATTTGATTCATAGCATTCAATTATGATCTTCAAAAAATTGAAATTAAAATTTCTAATAATTCTTTGAACTAATTTTTAAATAATAATAATAATAATAATAATCAAACAAAAAATATTTATAATAAATAATAAGAACAATACACTCTAATAAAATACAAGTTCAATCGAACAATCGAAAATATTCTAAGGAAGCGATAATTAAATTAAAAATGAACACAGTCTCTGACATGAGTTAAGTTTATATTCTAATCGATATTTTTTTTTTCTAAAATCTCTAATTTTGATAATATTTTCTTGTTTGGTCTCTACTTATAATTTTATACACAACTCCCTGCCTATCACTAATTAGTCCATACTTATAAATTTAATTTGCAAAATTCGTTATATGTTATCCTAATAATTTTTTTATTTACCTTATTACCCTAGCCAAATCAAAATCGCGCAAATCAATTTACTTGCTCAAATTAATATTCACCTGTAGTCTGTTTATTTTTCACCGAGGATAGATGAAGGCAACGTAGAATGAAAATTACAAGGCCAACGTTAGAAACTCTTACCCTAAACCAATTTTTTGTTGGAATATATGGCTACTGCGATAATAAACGTAAAACCGAGTCGATGATGAATCATTTTTTCGAAAATTAGATGCGCCCTGATAGTGCCTCCGGTGGATGGCGTTCTAACCCAAAGATAAAACGATTTCCGTCTCCCATGAGAGTGGCACCTCTAATCGTTGGAGCTCCGGCGAACAAAACGAGTGAGGAATTAAGCTGAGGAGGCTGTCGAAAAGCTAGAAGAAATGAGAGAAGTAGGAGAGAATTGTTTGTGTTAGTGTTTAGAATGAAGGGGGAGGCCTTTTATATAGGCGGCTCCACTCGGCCAAAATGGCAGAGGATCAATTACGATCATAATTACGACCTTAATACGATATAATTTATTTTAAATTCAAACCTTCCGTTTGAAGCAGTCATAATTGATTCTAATTAAAAACTTTCCGTTTATGACAATCGTAATTTATTCTAATTTCAAACATTCTATTTGAAATGATTGCAATTTATTCTAATTTCAAACATTCCGTTTGAGATTATAATAAATCTATCCGACGGATAATATTTTATCCAAATAATACTGCGATTAGGCTATATATCCGGGTTTAATTTGGGTTGCACAATTTAGTTTGTCTCGAGACAGACAAAATAGCCAAAATATTAACCAAACCTCATACACATTTCTTCCAAATTAATCTAATTAATTTGGTACACCAGTCCGCCGCATTTTCACTCACAAAGTAATCGATTGCAAAATAACCGATTATCCAAAAATCCCCCACATGAGTGGAAATGCCCATAAAGGACAGAAACCCAGCTCAATCCCTATGAGACATTGCCACATCAGGACATGTAGTTTTTGGCTTTGAACCTTCCATAGTCAACATTATAGAGTGTACTGGTAGCCCAGTTGACGTGATGCATTGAACTGTTCCATCTCTGCGTGCACTTAGTCAATTGATGTGTCGCTATCTCAGTCTCAACTTTGTTTTCACATTTTGATCCATTTCGGCCATGGATCTCGTCTTTGGATTCATAAGTGTTTCATTTGAAGCGGCTCACACTTCACACTTATATAGGAAATCCTATATTAAGGTATCTAACTTACACTTTTAGGATCATTAAGAGACATTGACTCAACCTCACAATTTTTGCACATTATAACACTCATTGCTTTTCAGGGAATTGTAATTGAGTGTTTGTGTCAGACTCTCACAGCTTAATTTTTCCATTGAACCAAGGTTTGGTATCTCCGAGTGATTTGGTTGGGTTACCACTGTAATTGTCTCTATCTTGTGGATTTTAAACTCATTCCCTTTAGCAATTTGTACATTTGATCTCTCTGCAACCCTTTGGTTAGCGGATCCGCTAGGTTTTCTATTGATCTTACATATTCAATAGTCAAAACCCCACTAGTGATCAAATGCCTTACAATGTTATGTCTACGTCGGATATGTCGGGATTTACCGTTGTAAATTCCATTCTTAGATCTTGCTATTGCAGCTTGGTTATCGCAGTGAATCATTACGGGAGGTACTGGTTTAGTCCAGTATGGAATATCATCAATGAAGTTCCTCAGCCATTCGGCTTCTTCGCCAGCTTTGTCCAAGGCGATGAACTCCGATTCCATTGTGGACCGTGCAATGCATGTCTGTTTTGTGGATTTCCACGAGACAACTCCTCCTCCAATCGTAAATACATATCCACTTGTAGACAGTGAGTCTTTTGTATCAGATATCCAATTGGCATCGCATTATCCTTCGGTTTGTCTGTAGCATTTTACTACGAGATGAGCTTTGTATTTGTCAATAGACCCATCAGCCTTGAGTTTCATTTTCAAAACCCATTTACCCCCTTGTGTGTTCGCAACCTTCGGGTAGGTTAGATAACACCCAAGTGTCATTCTGTATTATTGAGTCTATTTCACTATCTATTGCTTCCTTCCAAAAAGGAGCATCAGGACTAGATAATGCTTCTTTGATTGTTGTTGGATCATTGTCTAACAAAATCCAGACCAAAGGTGTTCTTGACCTTTGTCCTTTTGCTACGCCTAGGCTTTGAAGCCTCTTGATCAGGGCTATTGGCCATTTGTCTTTCTATGCCCCGTAGTTCTTCATCTACGGATTTTGGGTTGAATTGCATCCTTTCCTTACAAGGGTAGATATTTCAAAAAATATGGCTTTCTTGATTCTATTGTAGTTTCCTCGGTCATCCCAGGGATTTC